GGGACTCCAGGATCATGACCTGAGCCGAAGGCAGTCGCTTAACCAACTGAGCCACCCAGGCGCCCATTATACATTTTTCTAATGCAGCATCCCCTAGCTGGTTTTTCATAAAACATCTGCCTTCCCCCATTCCTCACTGTGGCTCTCCATCCAGTAAGAGAAAGCAGATAGAATGTCTAGTCATATTCCTCCCCCTCTCTAGGGGTTTGTAGTGTTAAAACCCACACCACCATGAACCACCCTCTCTTTTCTCCCAATTTGATCTTACAGTTTGAGGAAATGTAAATAATATCTCGCAATAGGAAAGGTTGGAAGGATCCTTATCACAGCGAATACACGGACATTATCGTACAGACAGTATCAAAGCAGTCCACTGTTGCATACACTGCGCCTTTGAGAAAGAGCATAGCCTATTCTCTAGTAATTCTGTTACTTGCAGTATTGGCCCATGTAGATTCTCCATCCTGAAAATTGTAGATATATAAAATCAATAAGCTATTTCTGAGGTGTTTTTGGCAAGCTGGAAAATGATTTCAAAGAGTTACAGTTTGTTCTCATTGCCAGTTTTATTAGTTATTGTTTGAATTGTCTATGCGTAACTTATCAGGGAAAATATACCTTTTTATAAAGAGATGCATACATATGTGTTAGAAATTGGGCAGAATAAAATAATCTTCAGGAATTTAAGTATCATTTAAGGAGAAGCGGAACCTGCATTATAAAGCTAAGCCCAACATGTGATTTATTTCCATTGCAGGGACTTTAACTGCACTTCGGATGTGTTACCAAGGTTATGGTTACCCTTTGATGCTATTTCTGGAAGAAGGAGGAGTGGTGACAGTCTGTAAAATCAATACTCAGGAACCCGAGGAAACTCTGGATTTTGATTTCTGCAGCACCAATGTTATCAATAAAATTATTCTGCAGTCAGAGGGGCTCCGTGAAGCATTTTCTGAATTGGATATGACAAGTGAAGTGCTACAGATCACCATGTCTCCCGACAAGCCTTATTTCAGGTACTTGAACTCAGGGCAATTATAATTAATACTGTAATCTACTCTTATCTCCCTCCTTACACATTTGCTTAGGATGCAGAACTTTTATTATCCAGGTTCCTAGAATTTTCAGATCTTTAGAGAGCTTTTACTCTTATTTCATACTTCTATAGATTGGGAAACCTGTGGTCCAGGAAGATGAACTCAGTATTTAAAATTTCATAGTTAGGTAGTGTTGGTTTGTAGGTGAATAGCCCTGTCTCCTACTTTATAAACTAATGGTATTTTCATTGTACTACTTACTGGTGTAGCTCAAGTTACATCACGAGGAAAATTTGGGTTTAAACTTTTGGCAAAGGTGTTTATATCATATGGTATCTCTTCTTTCCTTTCAAGTTAGTATAGGATGCAAAAGGAAACAGATGTTTTCTATACATGGTTCATTCATTAAGTATCTATTAGTCACCTACTGTATGCCTATCCACCTTTTTAAGCACTTTGGAAGGGAATGGCTTAAAGTCAAGGTGAAGAGAAAAATATGTGAAACAGCCTCAAAGGAACAGAATTGCATGCCACTAAGTACCAAAATACAGAGACGCTTAGAGAACAGTACCTGAGTACTTATGGGGGATTGATCGAGGCAAGCTTCCTAAGGGAGGGCAATTTTCAGCAGGAATACAATGTCAAAAACTCTCAAGCTGCTCCTGATGTTTTGAACCAACAAATTATGAAATTTTCAGGATTAGAATCAATTTCGAGAGAGGATTTAAATAGTTCTTCTCTTTTTAATTACATCAGAATATTAAAAAGTAAAGGAACTAAAAATACATAAGAAATGAGAGGTATGTTCTTTTTACATCTACTCTAGAAAAATTGCAGGCCCTTATCATGACATGGAGCAGTTAAAAATTTGACTCAAGATTGGTTAAAATATTAACCAAAATGGAAATGCTACCTAAGCAGTGATAAGAATTAAAATCTGGGCACTTAAACAGTATATTTCAGAGGATCCCCACCTAAGTGATGTCTCTCAGCATAGGTAACTAGATAGATCGTGGTATCTTTCATCTCCTGTATGGGAAATGGTGGTGGGGAACTAGGAGTTGAAATTTTTTTCCAGATGTGTCAAATTTGAGGTGCCCCTGAAACTAGGGAGTATTGGACATATGGAGTTCAGGACATCAGTCTAGAATGGAAATTTAGATTTTGGAGTCATCATAATGGCTGGGTATGGACAAGATGGCTCAGAGAGAAAGAGCTTACTTTAGAGGAGAGAAAAGATGGAACCTGAGGAAGACTAGCACCTAGGTCTTCTATCACTGTGCTCACACAGTACTTACCAATGTGGTAACCCCATAGCAAATGATCAATAAATTCTTGCAGACTAAACAAACATACAAACATTTACAAATTGCTAAACACACAAACTGCTGACACTGCCAAGCAAGGAAAACCGTGAAACCGCCTAAAGAGTAGTCTGACTAAGATACAGAAGAGCCAGAATTCCGGGGTGTGGTGGCAAGGATGGGGCTCAGGACCCCGGGCTTCCCAATGAGTTTGATTAGGGTCTTCCATCATTCTTCAAACTCTCTTTCCTTTTATATGATTTCTGATTTAAGGATGAGGAAAGGTGAGTATCAGAGTAGAATTGAGGTAATGAAATTGAGGCAAACACCCCTGGATTTTGATGGATTCATGATGGATTTTTTCCAAAGCTGCTTATTAGTTGCTAGATCTTCTGAACTCCCACAGCATTCTGCGGGAATCTTTATTACTGTAATTGGTATAGTGTATTGTCAGCGTTTGTTTATATTATGTGTTTCATTCACCAGAATGAGCTTCTTAAGGAAGTGTCTTCTTTACTGAGATCCTAACGTGGCTTATTGCTGGACCAGTGAATAAGTGAATTGCTCATTTTTTTACTGTAGGTTATCTACTTTTGGGAATGCGGGAAGCTCCCACCTTGATTATCCCAAAGATTCTGATTTGATGGAATCATTTCATTGTAACCAGACCCAGGTGAACAGGTCAGTTCTTAAAATATTCGTGATGAAGGTGAGGTTGAATATCACATATCTATTAAATAAATGTAAAACTTTCGATCTGTTGCTAAAGGTATAACATCCTAAAGATATAAAGAGTAGGGTGCTGGGTGTACTTGGGGATTTGGGGTTGTGATAGTGGATGAAATTTTATAAACGAAAAATATTAGCAAATTGGACAAGTATTTGATTTTATCCTTATATTTGTTACTTGGTAGTGTTTGGCTAATTTTTGTCCTTTACTTGGAGTTATGAGCACTGCTTCAAGTGTGTCCAAATAACAACTGCTTCTTATTTACGCCTCTACAGATACAAGATTTCCTTACTGAAACCCTCCACAAAGGCCTTAGTCCTGTCTTGTAAGGTATCTATTCGAACAGATAACCGAGGATTCCTCTCATTACAGTATATGATTAGAAATGAAGATGGACAGATATGTTTTGTGGAATATTACTGCTGCCCTGATGAGGAAGTTCCTGAATCAGAGTCTTAAGTATGGCCTTCCCTGTGGTTTCTACCTGAACATTCATGATAGGTCACATCCTCATTCTGGGTATAGTATCTCCAGGAGACTGGGTTTTCTAAAGGGAAGAAGCATGGAGGAGACGCAAACAAGGTCCATGTACCCTAATAGTTGCTGTATATTTTGTAAGTAAATGTTTTCATATAGTCATGGATTACCCACTACCGGACTGTCCTTTGGTTCTGTCTTTTGAACTCATCATTATGAGCCAAGATGAATAATCTATTTAAGTCAGACATTTCAAGAGTCTAAAAATTTAAAGTTTGATGAATCCATACCTGAAATGTTCTTTTATTTATTTACTATTAGAAAGAGCAGCTGCATATGGGCATTGCTTATTAGTTTGAATTCCGGAGAATATATCTTAACAGTGGTTCTCAAAGTGTGGCATCTAGACCAATAGCATCACCATTACCTGGAAACTTGTCAGAAACTCTGGAGGTGGGCCAATAATCTGTAGCTTAAGAAAACTTTCCCCCAGGAAATTCTGATGCATGCTAATGTTGGAGAACCACTGTTTTGAAGGATACTTTTTTTGTTGTTTTAATAGCGTTTAATTGCACTGAAGTGATTGCTTTTACATGTGATTTCTTCCCAAATGTTCTGAAGTTTAGGCTTTGCCAGACAAGTCTGAGTAATTATATGATTTATTTTTAAAGTATACATTTTAAAGAAATCTATGAACAAGATATATAAAACAGTCTTCAGAGTTGAGTTACAGGATTTCTTCTTGTTCTCTGCAACTGTTCAGTGCAGTAAGTACTGTAGTAAGTACTTACTAGATAAGTTTGCCTTCTGTTTGCCTATAAGAGTTTCTCATCCAAACCAAGATGTAGAAAATCAGTTATTAAGTGATTTTGCACTTTCTTGGGTAGTTTTCCATCAATTTTTATGGCATGTGGATATTTAATAAAATGAAATACTAAAATTATCTGGCTTGTTTTCTAGTAGAAAAAATATATAACTAAAATAAAGTTTCCTGTACCGTGTGATACAGATCAGTGTTGCGCAGGCACCATTGGCCTTTGTGGGTGGGACAATTCTTCATGGAGAAAAAACTCATCCCATTGCAGGATTCATTTAACCTCCTTGGCTCCTACCCACTGATGCCAATCCTTGTGACCTGTGACCCCCACCCCCCGCTACTGATGGTTAAAAGCCATTGAATAATATTCATCAAAAACATTCATCAAAGGGGTATATGGGTATATTTGGAATGCCTTACCTTAAAATAGGCCACATGGCATGAGAGGAGATTGGTTTGGAGAGTAGTTCAGCAAAGCACTTCAGGGAAACACTCCCCCAGAACAGCTGTGGGCTCTGCTCCCCGGGACATGGACAATTCTGGGTGTCTAGCTCAGAGTGACTCCCTGATAACTACTGAGCCTCCCAAGTCATCTCAGGATGCCGGCTGGCACAAAAAGAGTTAGAGTTTTGTAAAGTATAGTATATGTTCAAGAAGGAAATGAATGACTCTACTAAATGTTGTGTAAATTTTTTTTTAGATAAACATCAAAAACAACAAATATAAAATGTAATTATGAAAATATTTAATCAGTTTCAAGGACTATAATTTTCCTTTAAAATAGGGCAGTTATTTTTGGGTTTTGTTCACTGGTATGTCCTGTACCTAGAACAATGCCTAGTATGTAACACATTCAGTAAATATTTGTTAGATGAAAGAACCTCCATTTCAGATTATCTTTTAGCATCTTATTAGTCACTATAATTTCAGTTATTTAGCTTTGAATTGATTTTGGTCTAATGTATTTTTTGAAAGTTAGACCTGTAAGGATTTAAAATATATATTGGTTTAATAGGGAAAGATTGACTTTTTGCACATTTAAGACCATTTTAGTTGCACATATCTTTAGCTGTTTAGAATTCATAAGCTAATGAATGTAATTCTCCATCAGTCTAACAGGAAGCTACCGATTTAACACAGAATTTCCTATTCAGTGTGTTCTCTTGGACCTAGGAATTACTAGTTTAACTTTGTTCAAATTCCTATGACAGTCCGCTAGGGGGAGTGCTTTCTCAGGCCAACCAGACGCACTGGTGACTACAAATTCAAGTGTCACACACAGAAAAATAGAATCTTATTTTTCAGACCTTTAGTTTTTTGCCTTTTTGAAGTTTATCTCATTTTCTCATTAAATTGAGCTTATTACGGGAATGGGTAGTTAATCTTTTTCTCCATTTTTAATGTTTTTCCCTGTTTGATGATGGTGTGTTTCCACCTGGATTGATGAAATGATTTAAAAAGCAAAATAAAATGATTTTTAAAATTCTGCTTTTCTAATAAAAATAAATCTTGTAACACAATCACTTTTATAAGGAGCCACCGAGTTTCTACGGTGCATCAAGTAGTGCTGTTAAGAATTCATTACAGTTCCTGAAAGGGCAGCGTGTAGCATTCGTAACAGCTTAGGCTGGGGAGTTTTTCGGAACAGTGTACTCCCTTCTTCTGTTCCCTGTCTTCACACCGACTTCCCCTTGTCCCCACCCAAAACAAAATCTCCTGGGTCCTGAGGAATTGGGGAGATGGTCTGGTTTTTCTCTCCTACTTCTGGCGTAGGTAGTATTTGCACACACAGGTTGGGTTACGCACACAGCCCGTGCAGAGGGCAGCTGTCACGTGGGTCTCCCGCATGGGAGTGACAGCGCCCCATCAGAAAGGCCACAGGCCGCTGTTCCATGGGCTTGTGCTATCCATATCGCAGTCCCCACCAGAGATTTCCATGATGAGGAGAGTAAATGTTTAAAGTAGGTTTTACTTTTGAAATTAATAGCTCATTGATCAATCCAACAGATGATAGTAGTGGCTGTCCTTGGCAGAACGAGAGGCTGTGTGAAACGATTAAAGTCCGTCAGAGTAGTTCCCCGTGCTTGCATGGAAAACACACGAGAGTCTAGTGAGGCTTGTAGCCTGTACGTTTGGGCTTGACCCCTATAGGGTCTTGCTTCCTGCCATTTTGTCCAAGGATTTCTGGTTGCTTGTTACTGACTGGATTAGGACAGTCTCACCTCTGGAATATTGTCAAGTTTGCCTTACATAGGCCTTTTGTGGGAACTGGTGGGTGAGCTACTAAAACAGAGAAGTGGGGCTTCACTGACCTAAAGGAATAGGCTGCATAAACTGTTTGCATGCTTGCTGATAAATGTTTATTAAAATCTGTATGTGGGACAGTTTGATCTGGGCTTGATTTTTTTTTCCTTGTCTGATTTGGCATAGAGATTGTAGGAAAATAGCTAACCCTCATCCACCTCAAAAATTTCAGTGCCTGTTAGCTAATTATTTTTTCTTTTTTTATTATTATGTTATGTTAATCACCATACATTACTTCATTAGTTTTTGATGTAGTGTTCCATGATTGTTTGTGCATAACACCCAGTGCTCCATGCAGAACGTGCCCTCTTTAATACCCATC